GGTTAGCTCAGTTGGCTGGTCACAGGTTTGCAAATGTAGAGTGATGCCAACAGTTTGGTTTCAATTCCCACACTAGCTGACATTACCATGAAAGAATCTCCTTAATTTTTCCCCTTGCCTCAGGTGTGGTGACCCCCAGATTAAACGATCACCAGCTCAGATGAAGAGTCATCTAGACTCAAAACATTAGCTTGCTCTCTCTCCATGGACGCTGCCTGATCTGCTGTGATTTCCAGCATTCTTTTGTTTTCACCAGTTATCTCTCTCTAATCAGAGAACAGTCCTCTGGTCTGTTAAGTCAATAGTGATGTTACCTTTAGCCAGTCTCTGTGGCACAATTGGTTAGCAGATTTGACTGTTAACCAAACAAACGGTGTTTCAAGACTACACAGAATGGAGCTTCTGCTGTTTGAGGTCCCTTTGTGACGTAGGGATTCAACCATTATCCCTGAACCAGGAGGTCCAGGTTCAAGTCTCACCTGCTCCAGAGGTATGTAATAACATCTCTGAACAGACTGATGAGAAAAATAGGTTTAGAAAAAAGAAAAAAAGTTCTACCAGCACAGCTGCTACTAGGACTTGTACACACTGATTGGCATGCTGACACATTGACTTAAGGTTTGCAGTGACAAACCTACATGGACCAGCAGCATGAGAAGTTAGAGAACGTAGTCTACCACCCTCTCTTTTGTGACAGATATCTGAATTGGAATGGAGTTTTAGAACACCAAAGAGAAATATCCCACAATGATTTTCTTAGATAGCCTCAATTTTGGGCACCTATGCCTACTGATCAAACACAGATTGTGAATGATTTATTTTTATTATATACTTAGCTGCTTAAAAGAACTGTGGATGCTAGAAATCAAACAAAAATTGCTGTCAGCATCTGTGAAGGAAGCAGAATTGACATTTTGAATCTGTTACTCTTCATCAGGAGTCAAGACTCAAAACTCAAAACAATAACTCTGCTTTCTCCTCACAGATGCTGCCAGATTTGCTGAGTTTCATCAGCAATTTCTGTTTTTGTTTCAGATTCTATGTATGCGTCGTCAGACCATTTCTTGAAGGTATAGAATTTTTAACTATATCCTTTGACACTGACCTCTACATACTTAAAACAGTCCCTTTTGCTGCCTCAGTAGTGAAACTCCCCTCTGGTGAGAGGGTGTAAGCACTGAGCTTTCCCTGTCAGCCTGCTCTGCAATAACCATTGCTGATTGGCCACCTTAATTGCTATTCTAAACTTTCAAAAGATAAAAGGCAGTGTCTACTATTTCTCATCAAACCTGGGATTAAATGGGCTTCAATCCTTAGAATTGGGTGTGGATCCCTCTCCAAAGTGCCTTCATTGTCCTTTTGAGAAAGGAGAAGTTTCAATTTAAATCCGTTACTCTCCTCATCACTACTTCCTGGTCTTGCTCTTCCCCCTTTGACAACCCTGCCCTTCCTGAACTCTATACTAGTCTTCAAGCCTCCAAATCTGTTACAACCAGGTGGAGGGGGGGGGGTGGTGTAAGGGAATAATCAGCTCACGTCTTTTTGACCCCCACTCTTGGATGGTCACAACTTTTTCCTTCACTATTAGTGCAGTTATCACACTTCAATTAAAGCTTAGTTAATTCATCTTTAAAATGAGGGAGCCTATATTGAGATTTTCTTTGAAGAACGAGGACTTTTATCACATACTAACTTAGAAGAAAGAGAGAACATAACAAGTGCTCATAAACACTGAATAAGATTTTTAAAAAAAAAGAGTGGGATGGATGTGTCTAATGTAAACAGGAGTATAAAAGATGCAGTTTACAGTTCTTAGTCTTTAGAAGTTGCCTGGCTTACACAGCGGTACTGAAATTCATGAAATCCTGGAGTCCTCAGTAAATGATCATTTTCCCAAGTTGCTTTTTCACCAGGTACTTCATTCAAGGTATGGTAAGGCAGAAAGTGAATGAGAGCGAGAGCCTTCCAGCTTGCATTATTATGAAACCGTTTTTTCCCTTCTGTCTCTGCTCACCTAACCAATTAGTAAAATAGAATTTGTGCGTATATCTCGGAGACTAACTCCATTGTCTTTGCAAGCTATATACTCCACTGGCAACAGTTCATTTCTAAAACAGGTGAACTTCTCATGCAAGTGTGAATTAAACAGGAGATAAAAACCTTAATTCAAACTCAGTTGTTCTGGTTTCAATGCTTTTAGATGAAATGGTAAATTCAGTGCATTGAGTTTGGCGTATTCCATATGGGTTCTCTGGACTTGCCCCAATCTGGTTAGCTGATCACAGTAGTCATTTTAGGTCACCATTTATCTTCTTTAGAAATCACCTTAGTTTGTGAAGGTCTCAGGCATCAAAATAAGATTATTGTAATTGAATATTGATAGTCCATTATCGTAACATTCTTTCCACCTTTACTTATAAAGCCTTTCCCACTTGTCATGTCACTGTCGAAGGTTTGGTACATAAACCACCAGTTCTGTATTCCTGCACTCTAGCTGCAATTGTCTTTTTCTTCCAAAAGACATTAAATATTATCTGCTATGCGTCTGCCCAATGTACCATTCAACATCCTTCTGAAGTCTGCACCCGTGCTTCTCACTGTTAAACACATCTAAGATTGGAGTCATCTGCAAACTATAATGTTTCACATTCCCCAACTCCAGGCCGCTGAAGTGATAGCTTCCACACCATCTTCTGGGCACATTACCATACACTTCTTTTCAGCCTGATAAACACTGCTCATCATTACTCTGTCTTAATCAATATGTACCCATGATGACACTGTGCCTTTCCTGGAGTTTCACTCTTGCTAACAAGTCTTCTCACTTTTGTAATACCACTTATACATAATTGCACTATTACAAAAATCAAAATACATCAGATGCTGGAAATCTGCAATAAAAACAGAAAATTGCAAAAATACTCAGCAAGTCTGATAGTGTCTGTGAAGAGAGAAATAAAATTAGCATTTAAAGGTCAATAATCAAAGTTCAATTAAACTACAAGGAGACATAATGCAAAAGAACGTTAGTGTGGTGCATTGCAAGGTAACAGAGGAGTGAGTGAATAATGCAAAAAAGGTATTAGTAATGACTTTTTAGTCTCAGACTCATGATCCCAAAGGACAGGAGAATTGCAAATGTTGTACTTTTGTTCAGAAGAAGGATTAAAGGGTATGCCCAGCAGCTACACACCAGATGATTTAGTTTGGAGTAGGTCAGTGCAGAACTTCAAAAGAACATTGACAAGCTAGGATAACAAGGTGTAGAGCTGGATGAACACAGTAGGCCAAGCAGCAGAGGAGCAGGAAGGCTGACGTTTCCGGCCTAGACCCTCTAGGCCCGAAATGTCAGTCTTCCTGCTCCTCTGATGCTGCTTGGCCTGCTGTGTTCATCCAGCTCTACACCTTGTTATCTCAGATTCTCCAGCATCTGCAGTTCCTACTATCGTTGACAAGCTAGTGTGGAATAGATGGACAAGCAGCAGATAAAGTTCAGTGCAGACAAGTGAGAATAATAATTTTAGTAAGAACAGAGACAATATAACAAAGGCTATAGTAGGGGAGGACCCTGGCTGTAAACATATACAAATCATTAGAAGGTGGCAGGATGACAGAACAGTTAATTCAGCATATACGAGTTTAGGCTTTATTAACAAATGCAAGAAAGTACAAGAGCAAGTACAAAATCAAGGAAGTTATATTAAACATGCATAAATATTGTTTCTGTTGGAAGCATCAAGAATGAGAGGGTACAGATTTCAAGTAACTGGAGCAATGGAAACAAACTTTTTCATGCAGCATATTGTTAAGAAAACATCTGCAATGTGCTAGCTTATAGCTCAGAGGCAAAACTGCTACTAACTGAGCCATAGCTGACACAAGTTTGGTATTCTTCTATTATCAGTTGCTGGTTGCAAAGAATCATCTGAAATTTGAAAGATATTTATCCAAACAGTTGGAGATATGGGGCAACGTTGGATATACAAAATGAAATGGCCTAGAACAGTGAAGCAGGCTATTTAACTACATTTATTTCTATAATCAGTCCTTGGAGTTACAGACCTTGAAGAATTACAGTATTTTTATTATTCATATTCTACTGGATCTAAAGGGTGTTCACAATGTCAATCTAGATAGCTGATTTGAGCAGAATCATGTTTTGTATTGAATTGAAAACATACAGGCATTCCCCCTTTTGAAATTTAAAAAAAAGCTTTGGTCTGCAGGACAAAAAGAAACCAATATGCAGCAGTATTCTGAATTAGATGTTAAACCAAGATACCAATAACATAAAAAAACCCGAAAGAACTGGATGCTATAAATCAGAAACAAACAAATTGCTGGAAAAGCTCAGCAGGTCTGGCAGCATCCAATTCGAAGGAAGGGTCATTCTACCAGAAATGTTAACTCTATTTTCTCTCCACAGATGCTGCCAGACCTGCTGAGCTGTTCCAGCAATGTGTGTTTTTGGTTCCAATAATGTAGGTGGCTGATTCAACAACATTATTCAAAAGGGAATAAGGTTGTTCAACCATTGTGCTAACTACAGTGTTCTGACATGTACTACCAATTTGCAGTACAATAATTATCCATTCGCATAGATGTGTGTGGAAACTTGCTATGTGCAAAGTGGCTGTTGCTTGCCCACCTAGTTGTAGCAAGTTGTAGACAAATTAACTTGTATAAAAAGGGCTCTGAGATATATCTGAAGCACGACAAATCATTACATAAATACAGATTGTTCCTCTGCTTACTCTGTCAAGACAAAAAAAGGCATCTCCTCCAAGCTCTTGCTTAGAAGAAAAAAGATAAATCTTTAAAAAGTGCAGAGCTTAGGGCTGTGCTATTTTCTTGGGTAGATCTGTCAACTTACATCCAGTACATGATTGGAATGTTAGATTATATATTAAAACGAAGTATAAGTTACCATGCTCTCATTGTTGTACAAACTCAGCTCTTTGAAAAAGAGAGACAATTACTAATTTAGCAGATCAAGTTACCTTCAATGTTTTTACCCAGTACGAGTTGTGGAAGTGGAAAGACTCATCATGTTGGCATGAATAACTGGTTTCAGGTAAACGTGAATGCTCAGCAGAAAGCCAAACAGATGCAGGCAAGCACCTTTACTTGAGAAGTTACTTAAAAACAAAACCATAGTCAACAGGAAATTCATTACTAAGTATTTGGGCATCCTCGAGAAAGAGTCAGTACTGTGGTAAATTGTTCAACTCACTACTTCTGACAATTAGGTTGACAATTTTGTTACTTAGATGTGATTGATAAATTTCTTGCAAATTAATTTGGCAAAAGGGGTGTGGATGGGGTGGATACAGGATCTTAGCAGGTCTGGCAGCATCTGTGAAGAAAAAAATCAGAGTTAACTTTGAGTTACCGGAGTTATTTCGGTTTTTATACAGGATCTTACACCCCTTGTAGGTGAACTGTGTATGTGTCAATACATTTGGAAATAAAGCCATCTACTCAGCGTGCAGAAGAGTGATAAAAGGTCACAGAGAAAGCAATAAAATGGGAGGTAGCACTGTTATGGGATGAAACACGAGTTGGCTTTTTAAAAAAATTCTACATACAAGTTTAAGGAACAATAGGTAAAAACAGGGTATTTTATATCCCTGAAACAATTTTAATTAGTAACTTTATGGTGAATTTAGACTAAATATTGTATAAATGTTAGCAGAAATAACAGAGTCCATTACAATATAACTGATAGCTTAATATGGCTGGCCAACAACAGTTAACTTTTTTATATCTATCTAAAATGTTTGTTAAAATGTAAGCAAGTGCCCTTTTGTTTTTAAATATTCAATTTTATGCCAGCTACATTAGAAACTACAAGCTGGCTAGAAGAATGAACCTTCTTGAAAATAACATTTTATGGACTTTGCAAACTCTCTATAAATAGAATAAAACACAAAATGGGCACTCTGAAAAAACAAAATTAGTAATTAACGTTCATTTAATGCGTGCAATAAACTATGCAAAGGTAACTGAATTTTATTAGTTATAAATTGTGCATAATCAAGAACATTAATATTTAAATCATAATTTAGCACAAATACCAAAAGCAGTATATAAATAGATTTGCGTAAAAATAGGATATTTTAAACAAATATAACGCTAGTTTATACATATAGTACTTAAAAAGTAGTGCAATTTGAAGTCGAGTGTATTGAAACCTGAACCATAAAAATGGAACATGACTAAGTACCTACGTTTTGTTACCTCCACAGATTACAGATTCAGGTAACAAATATTGAAATAGCTACAAAATCTAGAATTAAAATTTATAGATACAGTATGAACTGGGCAATGTAGAATTGTTGCCATTAAATACACTGCACTGTAACATGAAACATTGCAATACCATCCTCAGTTCTGTAACAGTAGTTCACATAATTTAGAAAGTCGACGAGTATAGGATCATCAATATAGTCATCACTCCCCAGGTTAATAGGAATTAAACAAGAAACAATAATCTGTTAATTTTCTTTATATGTAGCTTGTGGACATATTAACATATCCATTTAAACATTAACAGTAAAACAATTTGCACAAGTATCTGACATCTGAAAACTACGGCAGACTATTATATGCATACCAAACTTTAATATCAAGTGCCTTTATTCACTATTTTAATGAAGCTTTAAAACAGGTAAAAGATTAAACAGGCAATATTCTGTTTAAAATGGTGCATACAATTTTAATGGAAATCTATTAAAAACTTCAGTTATATCGTAAGAGGCTCTAATTTGTTCACCTCCATGTTATACTTCATTTTAGTTTTACGTGTTTTAAACTACAAAATAAAAATCAGAAACCAATGCCGAAGAATATTATTTTGAGAGAACAATTATGTTATAAAATTGATCAACACTACTACCTCCTGCAGGTAAATAGGTATCACATCCAAAAATCACTCTTTAGGTAAATACGTGTCTCCCATATCACACATTGGATTTAATAGTGAATGTCCTATATTATGATTCATTGTTTTGGTTTCTCCATATTTGCTCTACATCTGCACCAAACGCTTTCATAATCTTAAACACCTGTCAAGTCATCCCTCAAACCTCTTTCCTAGAGAGAGTATTAAAATTCAGAGGTTGTAACTATCTTTACAACTTTTTTTTTGCAATTTCACTTGCTCACTCAATGTGGAGACGAAATCTATGCACAATACTCTGGATTAATTCTCTCCCTCGAAATATGAATCTCAATGCATTTACTTGCATATTTGCTAAAACAGCCTCATTAATCTGTTTTACTACTTCCAGTAATTTTGTATTTACACCCTTGAGTCCCTTTGCTCCTCTACTTCATTCAGAATTTGTTTTCCAACAAATATGTTGCCTCTCTATTCTGCCCGCCAAAATGCATAACCTCAGATTTATGTTGAAATTTAATTGCAACAAATTTTCAGAACGGATGTGTAATTTAATTTATTTTTGGATTTTGTTATAGGCTTCTTTCATCAATAACTAGATCTAACAATTTGGTCTTATCTTGTCATATTGTACAAGGTTGAAACTCTGAAGACAGAATTACACTTAGAAAAGAAAAAAAATTGCAGGGCACGCAAGTTATATTTCAGAGAGTTTCAACAAAATGATGGATTGCAAGGCCTTTGTGACTGTATGATTCATTGATTCCAGAATGTAGGCAACCAATTTTACATTTTAGCAAGTGGAAATTTCACCTAGTGATTGGATTTTCTAAATTCAATGAAGTGGAAATTTACTTAAATAACATTTTTTTTAAAAAAAAAAGCCACAATGATTGTCATGGTCTTTGGAAATGGAAGAATTATTAAATGCTAGACTGGATTTTTGTATGTATAAATAAACAAACAAATTTTAATCAAAGTACATAGCTTCAGTTGGACACAAATGAGAAAAAAAAACATTTCTACTTAGTTTTGTAAAAAACTTGACTATTGTTAGGCTGCATACAAATGAAGGGGTTTCAAATAAATCAAGATATCACACGAGAAGATTGTATCCAACAAATTCAATTTTTAAGAAGAGGGAAGTCCAAATAACGTGGGAACAAACCTATTATTTTCAGCAAGTTGTCATTTTAAAATGGTTACATCAGAATACTTCTCCCCTACTACTGATGATTGTATTTCTAATTGAGGAGCAATATAATGTGTGCTTAACGTTTAATAAACATGGATTAGTTAATATTGAAACAAAAGGTAGCAAACTCATGAGGAGTTGCAATTCCTATCAGATTAAACAAGTGCATTAGCATCACATAGAAGACAAACAGATTTTAAGAAAAAGAAAGCCATTTTAAACAAGTTTGCAGTGCCGCAAACTAAAAATATCAAAGTTAATTGTGGAATGGATTAAAGCACCTACTTGTATTTATGCAAGTGCTATGTGAGATAATCCTCAACTGACCCAATGTATTATCAAAGCACAAGTTGCCAATTATATATCCATGCTGTAAACGTAATGTCTTCCACAATCCTAATTACACCAACTAATTTGATGCTATACAATAAAATTATACAATGCACAAATCTCTGAAGTTACTACCCTACTTTAAAAACTTATTTTAAAAGTTGAAGTCTTCAAAGTGTAATTTTTTAAATCCCAAATTAAAATTTTAAAACTGATTTCTTCCTGCTACAATTATGATAATATTGGGCAAATGATTTAATTACATTTACTCATGGATTACTGGGAACTGGTAAAATGGCAAATTTTCCAAGTATATTAAGGTTAAATTGGTCATTTTTAGTGCAATGAACAAATATCAGCTGACATTTCAATTTTATTTTGCTTTCAATGTTATGAGATAGTTCTGGCATAAAAGTTATGTATTGTTCAAGTATAAATGTTAATTATTCTTGTTAAAAGTTAAACAAATAAGAGACAGCTAGAATCATATCACTTCATATATTTCAAAGAATCCAAAAGTGAAATCAGATTCCAGCTTGTAAATGAAGGCTTATATTTTTAGTTTTATAATCTTTTGAATAAGGATTCTGCTTTTACAGTAGAAAGAGTATGTCTTTTAATGGTATTGGGTATCATTTTATCATTTAGACCTTTATAGGGAAGGTTTCCAAAATAAAGTCCAGTACTAAGTAACCAAAGTTAGATATAGCTTCATCACACAATGTGAAATCTGCAGAGGCATAATTCTTAAGTTTCATATTTTCATTTATTGAATTATAAAATTCTTTTGCTATTCATTAGATTGCTAACAACTGTGATTGCTCCAATTAAATTACAATCTTTTTATTCTTCCATATCATGAGATAATATCTAATCAATCAGTATACATCACATTGACTATTCTGGATGATGAATTCTAAGCACACATGAAAGATATGAACTAAAGGCAGAGACAAGAAGAACAATCTTTGAATTTTGGAAAGTTTTCACGTCTTACACCCTCTTAATATGGAGGAGCACCTCAGATTTAAAAAAAAAGTTTAAAGTTTAACAGGTACGATGTCGAATAATTCTACATCTTATGCTTTCTTTAGAAAAAAAGACTACATATTTCTGAATTTCTGTCATCAAAAAACTACAATTTACTGCAGACCCCAGTTTCATAGAAGATCTCTTCACGTGAATTGATATAACTATACGCTCAGCTGAATTTTATTTAAAAATTTTGTTCATAGGATGTGACACACTGGCTAGGCCAGCATTGACTGTTCATCCCCAGTTGGAGACAGGGCTGGTGATTTGCCTTTGTAATACACTATTGTCCTCGGAGCATAGGGACAACAAAAATACCATCAGGAAGGGAGTTCTTTCACTGTTACTAGACCAAAATCCAGGAACTGTGATAGATCTTCAAGTCAGGATGGTGTGGCTTGGAGAATTTGCAGGTGGCAGCCCTGTCGTGTACCTATTGATCTTGACCTTCTAGGTGATCGTGATTGTGGGTTTGCAAGTTACTAATCGAGGAGCCTGGTGAGTACTGCAATGCATCATGTAGATGGTATACATTGCTGCCACCATGCCAATCAAGGACAAACGGCTTTGTCCTAGGTGGTGTCAAGCTTTTGAAGTGTTGTTGGAGTTACGCTCATTCTTGCAAGTGGAGCATTAGGTGGTCGACACCCAATAATGTCACAAAACTTTATAGCTACATACAGAAACAGAAATTTAAAGCTGCTCATTTAAAATTTACTAATTTTAATCAAGATATATAATTAGTATTTTAAAAACATTAGTTTTGCAAAATTAACTGGGATCAAAACCTTGGATCCAAATCCATTATCAATTTATGTCATAGGGCGGCACGGTGGCTCAGTGGCTAGCACTGTTGCCTCACAGCCCCAAGGACCGGGGTTCGATTCCACCCTCGGGC